AAGACTTGGAAGCTGGAGGGCAGGAGAGCAGAAGGCAGCTGAGATGGATATCAAGGCAGGAAAGGCTGAACCTGGGCCATTAGATATGAGAGGAGGCCCACTGGGGTCAAGAGCCATTAAGTAGCTGGACAGCATTATTGTTAGTCTATTCCCTGTCCTTTCCCCAGGCTGGACCCCCTTTTCCACAGGTCCCTGGCCACACCTTACACCCCCAGGCCCTGGCAAGGGGAAAGAGGGAAGAGGGTTGCTGGGCCCCAGACACTTCCTGTTGAGCTTTTGCACTCCCCACAACTTCCTGTGTCTGTATAGGGCTGATGCTCTGGAGGCAGACAAAACCCAAGCATCCGGTCTCCCAGCCCAGGCCAAGCTCTGGGTGGGGGGGCCATGTACCTGAAGCCTCTGGCTCCGACTCTGGATCCAGCGATGGGCTCTTATGCCTCCCCCAGAGGGTCTTGGATATTCGGAGGTGGCTCCTGCGTGACTCCTTGGGGGGCGCAGAGAAGACCCGGCGGAACAGCGAACGATGTGCCGGCTGGCTGCTGACCATGGGTTCCTGGTGGCTCAGTGCCCTCCCCCAGCCCGCAAAGCGACCCCAGTGGAACCCTCCAGTCCCTTTCTCCCCACCGCCCCCTGTGTGCCAGCGGTAGGAGGGTAGTGGGGATGGGGCTGCAGGCTGAGCTTGGGAGGCCTGGCTTGTTGATGGTGGGTCCATGGTGGGGATTCTCCTGGGGGACGAGAGGGTGACAGTTTTGCCCAGTGTCTGCCCACATGCTGCCCTCATCTTGGCCCCCTCCCCACTCTCAGCTCTGCTCCCAGGAAACCCCCTTGGGGACCACAAGCACTGTCTCCCTTACCTTGATTTCCTGACCAGCCCCAGAATCAGCAGCCGTCTGTACCCTGCCTGGCTGCTTCCTGCTGAACGCTACTCCACGTGACCCTGTTTGTCCCACCCCATAGCCACACGGGAGGGTACAGTGTGGGCAGGATGCCGGAGGAGAGAAGGTGACAGAGCAGGACCCAGAATCTCTCACAGACCAGGAGGCAGCACATGCTCCTCTCTGAGCCTGTTACCTTATCTGCAAAATGGGCACATATTGCCAAAATGTTGGTAAGAACCAGGAGTCTCTGGAACTCTCATCCACCGCTGGTCTGAGTTTAGATCAATTCACCCAAGTTGGAAAACTGTTTGGCCTGATCGGCGAACATTGTACACTTCTCCTCTGACCCAGCAGCTAATCCAATAGACATGCCCACTGGCGCTATTCATAATAGCCCTAAAGTGGCAACAACTCAAGTGTCCATATACCATAGAATGAATAAATTGTGATCTCTTGCCGCAATGGAATACCATGCAGCAGTGAGAATGAATGAGTTACTGAATGATTAAATTTGGATGAATCACAAATAATGCTGAACAAAAAAAAACCCAACAATGAAGACTATACACTGTGTGGCTCCATTTCTATAAAGTTGCAAAGCAGGTAAAACTATGTCCAGCAAGGGCCGGCCAAGTGGCTCAGTTGGTTAAGAGCTCGCTCAAGAGTGCGAGCTCTGAGCAACAGCGGTTCGATGCCTGGCTCAGAGTTGAGCTGCCAACAGGTGGCAGGATGGCTCAGCTAAAAGAAAAAAAAAAAACGAAACAAAGAACTATGTGCAACAAGTCAGGATGTCCATCTCTTTTGGTGGGCGCCAGTGGGTGGGAGAGCACGATCACGGTTTCTATTTCTGTTTTTAAAATTGTGAATTCACATATCAAATTTAACGTCTATTTCTTGAGCTGGGTGTTAGTTACATGAATGTGCTCGGTTGTGAAAATTCATTGAGCTGTACATTTTGGTGCAATTTCAGTAGAATCCTGGTCCAGGAGTGGGTTCCAGTGCCAGCTGGTCCTTGTCTTGCTGTGTGACTTCAGACAAGTCACTTCCTCTCTCTGAGCCTTGGTTTCCATATTTGTACAACACAATGATATTATCAGTTTCAGAAGATTCGTAATGGGAGCCTTCTTTTATTCAACAAATGTTTTCCGAGTGCCTACTATGTGCTAAGTGCTGGAGAAGTCACAGTGAACTAAATAAACACAACTCCTGCCCTCTTGGAGCTCACAGTTTAGCCAGGGAAACCGATCCTGAACACGAATGCAGGACATTTCTTTCAAGGAGGACTTGGAAGAAAATAGACAGATGGCAGTAGAAGTTGAGCAGAAGTGACACTTTTTGAGCTGCAAAAATCTAGGAGGGCCTCCCTGAGGAGGTGACATTTGCAACCTGAAGAGCATGCTAGGTCTAAGGAACAGTTTATACAAAGGCAAGGCAACCAGGATCCATGGGGTGTGGTGGGTAGGACCACCTTGATGGGCATGTGGCCTGTGCAGTCACTCAGGACCCCACACTCAGAAGCGCTCCACACTATGTTTGATTTAATGCTCTGCTATTGCTGTCTTGAAGTTCTTGCTTTTTGAATAGGGGCTCTGCATTTTCATTTACACTGGGCCTCACAAATTCTACAATCCATTCTGAGAAGGAGGGTCTTCAGTGAGGGCTAAAGACCCTTCTCCTGGAGCTAGTCATGTTCATGAAGGTACACACACCTTAGATATGCCCACCTATTCATACTGCATCAGGCCACTCACTGCACACACATGTGGAGTCTCCCAGTGTTCTACAGTATCCCTGAGCATTTGCCATTTCAGTGCATATTGGTCCCACTCCCAATTCCCTGCATTTTTGCTGGAAGACTTTCTTTGACAGATGGAGTCCACTCTGCCCCTGCAACAAGCAGCCTGAAAGTGCCAGAGAATTAACACCTCCCCGAGAGCAGCCCTCAGCCAATGACTATGGGAACTGGAGGATCAATACCCCAGTTCCCTTGCCCCCTTGGGTGGGATGATGTTGAGGTGTGTATCCTATGCTGTCCCCCAGAGGTTCCAGTGGGAGTGAGCTCCATGTGCCCCCGGTACCAACTTGCTTGACAAAGCACCCTTTCCGGGCTGCCTTCCCTTCCTCCTCGTTCCCCAACTGTTATGTCCTGGTATCACCTCCAAAACTAGTTGCACTGGAATTCTTGTCTCAAGGTCTGCTTCTGGGCAAACCCAAACTAAGATGACGTGTGCAAACACAGATGATGCACAGACACAGGCTTGCTTTCCACAGTCTCTTTATTGGAGGTTTGTGGCTGGCAGGGTGAGTGGAGGTGGCTTTCTCTTGGAGCTCCTGGAGGCCCTCCTGGCAGTTCTTGGTTTCACATTCTAAAAAATATGAGAGAGTGTGAGGCTTGGGGGTGGGGTGGGGGGTGGGTCTCCCTTCTCATGGTGGTACGCTGCATGGGGGAGAGGACAAAGTGAGGGGGTGGTACAACACTGACTGCAGGCTAGCTTAATGAAATATGCGTAGAGTGGCAGTATGCAGTAGCACAAGGTCCTGCAGGTGTGTGAGTGTAGAGATGTTTTCGTGATTGAGGTCAGGGGGTGGGGCCAAGGTTGTGCTGGCTGGGCCTAGATTGCTCCAGCATAAGAATTGTCATCTAGGGTCAGGGAGCCTGGGGTTGAGTAAGCATCCTCAGGGCTGAGATTGTCTAGGCAGAAGACTGCAACACAGCGTTAGGAGCTTGACAGAGTTGTGTAGGCAACGGTGTTTTCTGTAGAGGCTAATGGGCTAGGTTAATGTTGTGTGGACAGAAGGCCTTTGGGTTGGAGGCAGGGGTGAGGCCAAGGTTGGATGGGCTGAGGGTTGTGTAGGCAGAAAGGTTGTGACTTGGGTATAGGTGATGCAGGCCAGGCTGAGGTTGTGAGGGCAAAGGGTTTGCTACAGGGGCCAGGCTCCTTGCCCTGGTTAGGAGGGCAGGGGTGTTGGAGGCTGGGCAAAAGACAAGCTGGCTGGGTCAGGCACTAGGCTGAGGTGGTGCAGGCAGAGGACTTGTTGGGGAATAGGAAATGTTGAGAGCAGAACAACTTAAGGCTGGGTCAAAGTTGCCTCAACAGAAGGGCTGCAAGGGAGACCAGGGGCCTGGCTGTGTGGGCATAGGGGTTACAGGAAGGAGAGAGAGGACTGCCAAGGCTGGACAGGCAGGCAGGCTGCTTGTGTCAGATGGGTGTCAGGCCGAGGTAGTGAGGGCACCGCGGACTCACAGCATCGAAGTGCGGCCAGGTGCGCAGCAGGTGGAAGAGTGCATCACCAGGACAGTCTGTGTGCACGAGTTGGCGGTGGCCGAGCAGCGCGTAGTCTGGCCTCAGGAGTCCGGCACGCACCGCGCACCTGGGGAGCACGTCGCGCACCGTGCGCAGCGCGGCCTCGGTTGGCAGCTCCGCGGTGTAGTTGCCCACGAAGGCCACGCCGAAGCCGCGGGAGTTGTGGCCACGTGTGTGCGCGCCAACCCAGTGCCAACCGCGGCCCTCGTATACGTAGCCGTCTGAGCCCACCACAAAACTGCAGAGGGTGGCAGGTACCGCTCGGCATCAAGAGGAGCCCTGCTCCATATCTGTGCCAATGGCCACCCCCACCCCAAGTCCTGCCTGCTCGCGCTGTCCCTGCCTGGCCCAGCCTCGTTCCACTCCCCCACCAAATGCCACTCCAGAAACCCTCCTATTTCTCTGGATCTGCCTCGGCATTGGCCACGCCTCTTTATGTCCAGCACCCTCCCCATTGTCTCAAGTCCAGTTCTTGCCCAGTTCCCAGCCCTTTACTCTCTTAGGCTAAACCCCATCACTGCCCCGCCCCAGCGCTAGCCGCTACCACAGGTCCTGCCCCTCTCTCAGGTCCCCCCTCCTTTTCTAGTCCCAGCCCAGATCGAAGAGTCCCAGGGCTGAGTATATCTGTTCTCTGTTAAGCTCTCACCCTCGTCTAGGCCACGCCTCTCTCCACCTTGGCCCCACCCACCTAAACCTCCTCCATCTCGCCAGGTTTGCTCTGTTCCAATCCTGACCCCTGCGTCAGGCTCCGCCCACCCAGGCTCTACCCCTTGTCAAACTGGCCTCGCCCCCGCCCCGCCAGGCCCCGCCTACCTGTAGCCGATGTCGTCCCAGCCACGCGTGTCCTGGTGGAAGCGCTGCATGGAGCGCATGTTGGCGGAGCAGCGCTCGAAAGCGGTACAGGGGGCTGCAGGCAAGTACGTATGATGCACGTACAAGAACCCGAGCGGCAGCCGCAGCGGCGTCGGGCTGCCCCGGTATGGCAAGGCGCCCCAGCGGCAACGGGGGTGGATGGCGGGGCACCCTGCGGGTAAGGGCGTCCAGGGATGGAGTCAGCTAGCGTTTCTCTGCCCGTTGCCTGAACTCCATTAGAACACATATATGGGCCATGTCCCAACCTCCCAGATTTGGGGACACCTCAATCTCACACCACACTGGCTTCCATTGGGATCTAACTTAATAAAATCTAACAGTATTTCAGTCCTGTTGGAATAACCACATGACTCCCACCCCCTTCAGGATAAATTCCAACAATCGTAGTTCAGACTTCAATGCTCTTTACAACCCAGGACCCACTTTCTGCAGCTGGCCCTGCTCTGAGCCCTAGGAGAGACAGCTACAATGAAAGAAGAGGGATCTAGGCCCATATTTTTTTATACTTCACTTGTGTGCTACTTGTTTTACATGCTTATTTTTCTTAAACCATCCAGCAAATCCAAGAGGTAGCAATCATTTACCAGCCTCACTGAAGAAAGTGAGGTTCAGAGAAGTGAAGCAACTCACCTAAAGATACACAGGAGTAACTGGCTGAACTTCCATTCCAATCTCTGTGCCTTTGCATGTGCTGAGCCCACCTCCTGCAATGCCTTCTTCCTCACTTTTTTGTTAGATGAACTCCTATACATCCTTCAAGACCTGAATCTAGCCTTTCCTCACCTGTGCAGGTATCCTGGCCTCTTAGTGAGAGCTTTTTTGCCCACTCTGGAATCCCCCTGTCCTGGATCACCCCTGACCACAAGGGGCTGAGAGTGGTGTCTCTGTCTGTGAGAGGGAGAGTCACAGGGGGTGGGGGCCATTCTCACCCAGGAAGGCCTCAGTAAACTCCTTGGTGGCATGGGTGGCCACGTCCGCCAGCTGTTCTTGGCTCATGCCCTGTAGCTGAGGGTGTGCTGGCTGCAGCCTCTGTAGCAGGATCAGCGTCCCCCACACCTGCTGGGTCAGGGTAGGGGCTGAAGTTAGAGCAGCTCCATTCTGCCGTCTGAAGTTGCTGCGAAGTCTTGGGTCTCCGGCCACTCCAGCTCCATAGTACTGGCTTAGCAGGCGGCTGAGGGGTGGCCGGGGCTCAGGGGCCTGGCTCAGGTAGTCTCCAAGGAGGGCCCCATCCAGAGCACCATTGAGGAAGGCTGTGGTGAGTGGTGATGCCTCAGGGTCCAGGAGCGTGAAGTGCCGGGGGGCAGAGAGCTTGTCCCAGCAGCCCTCAGCTCCCATGCTTGGGTGGCTCTGGGTTTGGGGTCTCTGGAGGAAGGTCAGGCCCAGGTCTCTGGCCAAGGTAACCACCAGGAGTCTGTCCACAGTGGTCGGGGACTTGGCTTTAGCATCTGGCGAGGAGGTGATTGGGACATCTGGAGAGGGTGCTCTGACATCTGGAAAGGTGGCTCCCACATCAAGATCTGTGGCTCTAACATTTGGAGACACTGCCCTGACATCTGCAGAGGTGACATCTGGAGAGGCATCCTTGAGTCTTGGGGAGGTGGCTCTTACATCAGGAACCACAGCTCCAACATCTGGAAAGGTAGCTGTAGTACCCAGAGGGGTGGCTGTGCTGTCCAAGGGCAAGTTTATGACCCTGTGCCCCTGCAGCCCTGCTTCCAGCCCTGCCAGAAGAGGCTCCACAGCCACTGTCGAGCCATCGGGTGCCAGCACCACCCCATATTCCTGTGCACCATGCACACCATGTTGGGCCACCTCCTTGGTCAAGCCTCGAAGCTCTGGGCTCAGTGCAGGGGGATCCAAGTTGGTGGTCTTGAAATTCCATCCCTCTAGCAGGAAGTGATGGAGGGGGTCATGCTGGCCAGAGTCCTGGGCTGACAGCCGCCACAAAGTGGCAGTGTGGGTGGCCTCAGTGATCAATGCCTTCTGCTCGAGCTCAGCCAGGGCCTGGATGACTGAGTCCATGAGGAGGGGCAAGGATGCTGCAGGAGGAGGGATGGCATTAGCCTAGTGGCCCAGCACCTCCTGCTTCTGAGCCTCCCTCTGCTTCTTTCACATCTTCTCAATGCCCCCAGCTCTCCATCTGACAACCCTGTGACCCTCAACACTGTCCTCATGTAAATGAGGAAACCGAGGCACAGACAACAGGTTAAGGAGCTTAGACTATCTGAGCACTGGGGAGCCATGGTTCATGAGCAGGAGAGAGACACAGACAGGCTGGAGATCTAAGATTGCTCCTTTGGCGACCAAGTGGAGAATGAATTTTTAGAAAGCTATAATAGCTAGACTAGAGAAGGGGAGCCACTGTGGAGGTGAGCAATAAAGGTGGCCAAAGCTAGGGTGGTGGCAATATGATGGACACAAGTGGGCAGAGTCCCCAGGTATTTTGAGGGAAAGATGGACAATTTTTTGTGATGGATTGGAGTTTGGGGAATTTTAGAGGGAAAGGTGTATGGAGCACGCCCAGGGGAGGAGAGTCTGGACCTTGTGCCTTGTCGGGGAAATGTCAGCAGCTGAATCTGGAGTTCAGAAGTGCTGGGCTCAGAGCTGGAATGGGTTGTTGAATAATAGCTAACATTTCATTAAACATTTACTACATGTTAGACACTACTCTAGGTGACTTATATAACTTAACAAATTTAATCTTCACAACAACCGTATGAGCGCAGAGAGGGTAAACGACCTGCCTGAGGTCACATAACTAGAAAAAGGCAGAGGCAGATCTGAACCCAGAAATCCAGGTTCTTCTCCAGAGAGTCCACACTAATTTCTCTGTTCTTCTCTCTGCCTAAAATGCCCTTTCCTGCCTCTCTCCAAGTAACATTCTTCTCCTTCTTCCTGTGCTACATCTATGTCTCCTCCTCCAAGGAAGCCTTCCTGATTTTTGTTCTTCTGGCCCCAGGTTTTCCCCGCACCCGCTACCCTGATCCTGTGTCAGGGAGCATCTGTGTCCCCAGACTGGAGGTTCCTTGAGCCTGGGGTCTCTTGGGGGTCCTCAGTCACCCTGTATAGGGGGGATAGCAGTATACTTCTGCAGAACTGATTGTCCTGGCCCCAGGCCTCTGCCTTCTTACTTACCTGTTCCTGGCTCCGGCCACAGCAACAATCCAAGCAGGATCCAGACGATACCCTGGACCACCGCTGTGGGGTTCCAGATTCTGGGGGACATATCTGGTCGACCTCAGGGGAGACCTCGGCAGAGCTGGAAGAAGACAGACATGGAGAACTGAACGGTATATTTGGCTACTGTCAAAGTCCAGCGGTGAATGACACGGCTGCCCCTTGCAGAGCTGTGGATGGGAGGCAGCGGTGACATGGGGATAGAGTGCCCTGGGTCAAGGTCAGGTGGGTCTCAGGGACTCCCTATCCTATCCCTCCCAGGCTGAGGTCAAGAGTCAGTAAGCCAGGCCCTTCCCAGGAGGCACCAGGAAGCCAGGTAGTTCAGACTCCAAAAAACTGCCCATTCTCAAGAGAGGTAGACTGAGGCCACCTTAGCAAGCCCTACTCCCACCTCCCGATCATTCAGTAGCTGCTGCTGGCCACCACAGAGGACTCTGAGGTGCCCGCCCAACTGGGAAGACTGGCTGTGCTGGGGGAGGGGAGAGAAGGAGAGGCCTGAAGTTGGCACAGCCTCCTGCCTTTGCTGCCAGCACTTCAGTCTCAGGCAGAGAATTTGTGCAGGGGCCGGGGTTTTTTTTTGGCTGAGGTCCACTCTGAGCCCAGGGGACCAGGAGATGTCTCCTCTCACCCAGTTCCAGCTCCTGATCCCAAGCCACCAGACGTAGCTGAGAGCTGGGATTGGGCCAGGGCCTTCCTGACCCTGGCTTTGTCTCAGGAGCTGGCATCTGGGCTCACCTGGGTGGACAGTGAGGGGTCCTCCCTCTTCCCCTGGGCTGTGGCTGAGTCTCACAGAAGTGAGCCTGCCTCCCCTTTATTTGAGCGTCAGGTGGGATGGGCTCGATGTGACTGGGGCTGCTGTATAAATTGCCTCACTGTGGGCCTCCCACCCCGAAACCAGCTTGGGGAGTTTCTGGGGGACCCACCGGGCTGGGCATTCAGTGCAGGGCGGGCCCTGGGCGGGCCTGGGAATGCCCGGGCTGAGCCAGGCCTGGGATTTCCAGAGGGCTGTTCAGCTATCCAGTGTCCTCTTTCTGGGGACCCAGCGTCACACAGCACAAAGCTGGGCACATGGTGGGAGCTCAGGGAGTAGGGTGCTGGGGGGGAGGAGAGAATGGGAGCCACTCCCCAGGGTAATCCAAGGAAATATCTTCCTCTGAGTCCCAGTTTCCAAGGACTTGGGGGTGGCGGCTCTGCCTGGTTAGAGCCACATGCAGGATGTGGGGCTTGTGTCCATCTGGGGCAGGGACTAGAGTAAGGAGAGTGAAGCATCCTCCTCGAGCACAAAATTTAAGGCAGTGCCAACAATCTCAGTCATCAAGATAAGTAATATTTTAATGCACTATTTTAAAAGACCAAAGTGAATGCAAAAAAATCAACGATGAACAAAACACCAACATTCTAGATAAAGATAGGGTCAGGAACAATGTTGTGCGAAGACATACTGGAGCCATAGGTAAAAGGAAAAATCATGAATTCGGGTCCTATCTTTGTGCCTCACTTGCCTTACCCTAGTCCCAGCCCTGTGTCCACCAGGGGGGAGACCCAGGATGCTGTGGGAATGGCTGTCACATGAGATCCCCACCTGATGTCCACCTGGTCTGGAAATGAGTTTTTCAGCATTATGGACCCTGAGTTTGTTCCTCTGATTCTCCCACTGATTGCAGCTTTGGGGAACCCTTGCAGTTTTATTTAACCATTTTATGTCCATTCTACCCAGCAGGTGAATGAGCTCAGAAAGGTTAAGTAACTTGCCCAAGGTCACAAAGCTAGAACTGGGGGAAGGTTTCCACTATCCTGTGGCTGGGTTGGAGTCAGTGTAATTATGACCCTTCACACTGGGGAAGTGTTTGCAGACTGGCTGCAGAGC